TAACAAGATCTCCTGACAGAAGCCCAAAGATTCGTTCTGGGGATTTGGTAAATGAATATCGGAGGACAACCTGGACCTTGGGGAGCATTGAATAGAGCAGAGTTAGGAAACTCAATGGCCTGTGATGCTGAATATTTTGGTTTCAATTTCCAGGACTTTCTAACCATTTCCCCTGTTGACTGAGTTTTATAGGAAGCATAGTCCACTGCCTATGATGGAATAATTTATATTGTTCCTCGCCATTGTCATGATGATCAATAACCACATGAAAAACCTTTGGGCCAAGACCACTTAATCGCTTCCTTCCTGGGCCACTGAAATTCCAAATTATTTCAGTTCCGTTCATATTTCTTCCATACTACCTGATGTTCCAGTGATCTCAGTTGCAAACCTGATGTTCCAGTGATCTCAGTTGTATATTCTTCATAATTAAACTATTCTTATTGTTAGTTTTATCTCTATAAGCCTACCAATCTTGTAGGAATGGGTGGCCATAGAACTGGAAATTGTAAGTAAATCAATCCCTCAAGCATGTTGTTTATCCACAAATTTTGTTGTCTGCTGAATCTATACTCCTACTTTATAAGATCATTTTAGTTCTACAAAATCAGGAATCTAGAGATATTTTGTTGCTGTGGTCTTTAGGACAACTAATTTCCATTTCTGCTTGAAAATGAGATGGTAGATGGCAGCTGTAGCTATGAGGATCTCTATCTACATTCATTTTATGAACATCATATGCCCATTAAAGGACTGAGGTGCAGTGTTCAAGGACACTGATGCTTTAAGCTTGATTTAGACTTGTCCACAACTGCATGTAGACATTGAAGCATAATTACACTGCGAAGGGTTTGATGGATAGCTATAGGTTGCAGGTGGTTACTGTTGAGTCCTTGGCGAAAAGCAGACGCGAGAAGCAGTTGTAGTTCTCAGGTTTCCTTTTATTCTGTGTTCAGCTTACAAGTGAAGGCTTCAGCAATGCCCAAAAGCTCCTAGCCTCTTATATAGGCAGTTCCCGTGTCAATATGTTACTTTTCCCGCGCCAGCACCCGCGCATGTGCACAGGCGCTGGCGACAGCCTGTCTGGTCCTGGGCAGCTTGCACCTGCCCGGGACTGCCTGCAAACGCCCCGAGCCTGTTTGCAAGGCTCGGGACATAACACCCCTTTCCCCCGGGCTAAGACTACTACCAACATACAATTATTTCTTGATGCAGTGTTCTACTCCCCAGTGCTCCTACTGTTTACTGGCTTTTGTTTGGCCAGCAATGTTATGTAATCCTCTAAGTATTTAGGAGATTTCCTTGCTCTCTGTGACCTTCTCAGCTCTGGGTTTCTGACAGGTGTTCCCTGACTGAGGGGAGACGTGAGCCTGTTCTCCTTATCATGCCTTGGTGCCTTCCGAGGACTGTGCCCCGATGCCTGGCCTGCTTGCTCGCCCACCGGGCTCGTCAGGCCAGGGCTTCTGTCACTTTGTGACCTGGTTGACCTGCCTAGCTGTAGGCCCTCGGGCCCCTTGAAGTGATAGCCACTGCTGGGCGTCTCTATAGAACCTCCTAGGTCCGTCCAAGACCTGTCAGGAGGCTGTCCAATCCCTAAGCCCCGTTCTGTGTCCGGGCTCATGTGGGTCTCTGTACCTTCCCAAAACTCGGTTACTCCCTGATGTGGGCTAGAGGTGTTACGGTCGGGACTTGGTTCCTCGACCACCTCCCTGTAAGTTTGACCCCCTGTAGGACTTGGGGTAAGGTCAGGCCAACTCTGGGGATTATGTGCCAGCTCTCTTGCGGGGTATGATTTATTGGGATGCTCCCGGGTATCCTCCCTGACTGGAGTACTGTGCTGTGCAGGTGAATAGTGATTGTACCCCCGGGGTGACTCCCTGGCTGGCGTGAATGCCTGGTAGTTGGATAGGCTCTTAGAATTCCTGTTTGGGGCACTCGCGGAATCTTGGAATGGGCCGTTTGTGGCTCCATGATTGGAGGTGGGCAGCAGCTCGTGCCCCTCCCTTTGCTCTAAAGGGTCCCCCTCCCCCCCTGGAAAAGACCCAGGAGTCTCATCTGAAAGGTCCCGCCTAGGGCGGAGTTGGTCGATGTGCCGACGCAGGACACGACCGTTGTCCAGGGCTACCTCGTAGGAGAGAGGACCTGTGACCCTGGAAATAGAAGCGGGGACCCATGTATGACCAGGCCCGTAATTGCGAGTCCAAACCGGGGCACCCACAAGTAGTTGTCTAGGTGCCCTAGGATGTGAGGTAGATGAAGGCAGTCTGTCCGGATGCAACCGGTCAAGCTTCGTAGTAAGTTTGCGCCCCCAGCGAAGTTCAGCTGGGCTTCTCCCTGTAGAAGTGGACGGTGTGGTGCGGTAAGAAAGGAGAAAGTCAGCCAACCTGTGATGCCAGTCCCCATAGGTGAGTCTTTTCAAGGCGTCCTTTGTGATGCGGACCATGTGTTCAGCCATACCGTTGGTGGACGGGTGGAAGGGTGCAGACCTGGCATGACGAATCATGTTAGCCTGTAAGAAAGCTTGGAATTTGGAGGAAGTAAATTGAGGGCCGTTGTCAGAGACGATGACATCTGGGAGCCCGTGTGCAGCAAAAATCCCCCTCAGTACCCGAATAGTCTTTGCAGTGGTGGTGGATGAGACAGGTACAACCTCAAGCCATTTTGAATGACTGTCAATGAGGACCAAGAAGAACTGGCCCTGAAAGGGCCCAGCGTAGTCAATGTGCACCCTAGACCATGGGGACTGTGTATCCTCCCATCTATGCACAGGAGCTTGGGGCATCTCTGGGCGAGAGCGCTGGCACAGGTGGCATGCATGCACCTTAGCCTCAATGTCCTTATCTAAACCAGGCCACCACAAGTGGCTGCGCGCAAGGGCCTTCATGCGAACAATGCCAGGATGACCCTCGTGGAGGGACTCTAAGATCCTAGTCCTCATTGAGGTGGGAATGACAACTCTGTTTCCCCAAAGCAGACAACCCTGAGAAGTGGACAACTCGTTCCTTTTGGACCAGAAACTCTGAAACTCAGGACTAGGGCAGTGCTCAGGCCATCCAGACAAAACCCAAGAAAGGACACGTGAAAGTGTGTGATCTGTGCCTGTTTCAGCGGCGACATCCCTGGCATTCAGAGGGGACTCGGGCAAGGCTTGGATGGATAGAATGTTGACAGCTGGTGCAGGGTCAGCTTCTACTACTGGCAGGGGCAATCTACTGAGGCCATCAGCATGGCCCATTTCTTTCCCAGGCTTGTGGAGTAAGGAAAAATCATATGCAGACAGAAAAATAGACCACCTAAGCATTCTAGGGGAAATGATTTGGGGAGTTTGTTTACGTGTGGTAAACAGTCCCAGCAGAGGCTTATGGTCAGTGAAGACCGTGAAATGCCTGCCATACAAGAAATCATGCTAAAGAAAGGGAGACACCTGAAAAATCCCTATTTGTTATTTGGATATTTTGACAATTTTATTTACTCTGGGAACATGTTTTGCAGGATGGGTAGATGTTTAATTTAAGACCATATAGCCAGGCCAATGCTTTGTTTTCCCTGAGAAAAACGTAATTGAGTTCTGGACTTTTACCAAATCCCTAGGATGAATGTTGGGGCATCTGTCATGAGACTTGTTAGAGAAAAAAGTCCTCCACTTTCTCTGGAGTTTTGGATCCCCCTAGGAGACCAATGGCTCCTTCAGTCTTTGAGGTTGGTTTATGTAAACAGCCTCCGTAACACCAAACATTTATTTTTTCCAGAGGAAAGATTATATGAAGATTTTGCTATGGTAGAGGAATCATCAGGACTTTCAGCAAATATTACAGAATTTCAGGCTTTCCTTAAGAAGTGCTCTCCTCTCTAAAAATAATCAGAAAAGGATCAATAAAGTAAGATCATGTTTTATAGTTTGGTTCCTCACGTTATGTAACTTCATGAGAAGATGTTTCATTTTCAGAGGATATCCAGTGGAACATTAAGAGAGTTTTATTGTCAGCTTTTCACTAATGCTTTAACATTTAAATCTTTTGAGCCTGTACATTTTGATGCTCTGTCTAGATGGAAAAGGCCATCTAGGAATGGCTGATTATTGGTGGAATGTAATGGAACCAAATTACATCTAATGGGAAATTAAGTTTCCTTTGATTTAAGTCACTTTTCTCCAATCCTTCCCCTACATTTTTTGCTTCCATACAATTCTGTCTGATTTCCAGAGATTGCCTGGGCAAGTACCTTCAGTTTTCTTGGCAAGGTTTTTCAGAAATGTTTTGCCCTTGTGTTTTTCTGAGAGCTGAGAGAAAATGATTGGTCCAAAGTCACCCAGTTGCCTTTATCCCTTGGGCTGGACTAGAATTCCCGGTCTCCTGGTTTCTACCCTAATGCCTTAATCACTAGTATTTTTTATTTCCTAACTGGAATATTAATGCAAAGTTTCAGATGTAGAAGGGGTGTACTGTATTTCAAAGTAAATGTGTAAAAATGTTTGTAATTGTTATTGAATTTTCATTATTTATAAAATCCCAGAAATAGTAACAGAAATTATTACATACAGAGCAATCAATTAAAACACATACACACATGCACACTTCAGTTTTAGATTCTGAGAAAAGTTCATAAAGTGATTGTGTGATTCACTAAGATAACATAATCACAAATAAATTCACAGGTCACTAAATTAAAATTGCAGCCTTTCTTTCCCATTTCCAAGGATTTAATCCAAATTACCAATTCTGAGTAAATATAAATGAAAAACATAAAGGTGTCTAATTTGAGAATGCTATCTAATTTTTAAATAATTTTTCAGAAGAATTGTTTAATTCTTATTTTATGTTTCTTTTCTGTTTTCAGACTACTATATGCAGTGCTTTTTTTGTAAAAAAGAAAGGTGCTGGAACTCACACACTTCATACAATCCGGCTTGCCTACCCTCCAAGGTCCCATCCAAAAAAGGTGCTGGAACTCCATTCTGGGCATTCTATGACAAAAAAAGCCCTGACTATATGTATGATATCATGAAAAAAGACAACCAATCCTGTTTGACTGAGTTTATCCTTCTTGGCTTCTCAGATTTTAAGTCTATGAAAGAACTTCTGTTTTGTCTGGTTCTAACATTTTACCTCATGGCTTTGGTTGGCAACAGCCTGGTTTTGACCTTTACCATTGCCAGTCCCACACTCCACACCCCAATGTACTTCTTCCTCTGGAACTTGTCCTTTTTGGAAATTGGCTACACCTCCACCATCATCCCAAAGATGCTAGTAAATTTGTTATCAGAGAATCAGACTATATCCTTTTGGGGCTGTGGGTGTCAAATGTGCTTCTTTATTCTCTTCAGTGTCACTGAGTGTTGTCTTCTTTGTGCTATGGCGTATGACCGTTATGTTGCCATTTGCAAACCCTTGCAATACCCCTGTATCATGAATGACAAGAAATGTGCTAACCTAGCTGCCATCTCATGGACCATTGGTATTTTGGGGAGTTTGGGGCAATCTATTTCAATCTTCACTCTTCCCTTCTGTGGGTCAAATAGAATCAGCCATTTCTTCTGTGATCTTATGCCTGTTCTGAGACTGACTTCTATCAATACCTACAAAAATGAAGTGGCCAATGCAACACTAACAGTGGTATTTGTCCTGGTACCCCTTTTGTTCATCCTCTTTACTTACATCCTCATTGTCTCCACTATTCTCACAATGCCAGTGGCCACAAATAGGCACAAAGCATTTTCCACTTGTTCCTCACATCTCATAGTTGTTTTCATTTTCTTTGGAACCATCATTATTACCTACATTCATCCCAATTCAGCATCTTCTGGGGATGATAACAGGATCCTTGCCCTGCTCTACACAGTAGTGACTCCAAGCTTGAACCCCATCATTTACAGCTTGAGAAATAAAGAGATAAAAGCTGCTTTCAAAACATCAGTAGCAAGGAAATGGGTCTTCTTTAGGTAATAATCCAATATAATAATCCAATAATAATTGATATAATCTCATTATATCAATCAGTTTAATCTCTTCAAGAAATCACTATCTCTATTTGCCCAATTTTGGAAAAATGAGAATCTACCATCTGACCAGGCTATAATTACTAAAATCTTAGAGTGTGCAGAAATGGATAGATTAACATTAGAGATGAAAGAAAAAGATGACTCAGTTTATTTTAAAATTTGGGAAAATTTTTTATCAATGGTTAGAGATGCGTTAGCATCTGAAAAGGACTTAAGATTTTAGAATAGATGATTTATTCTGACTCTGATATAAAACACCTTCTTTTAAATCAAGTCAGATAGATAACTCAAAAGAAATGATCTCATAATAAACAAAAAATATATTTTAATAGAAAGATTACTTGCATTCACGCTGTGGTTGATACTCCTGGAAAATACTTCCTTTGTCCATTTCTTTAGACCATTTCTTTAGGTAAAGGTATGATGCTCTCTTCCATACCATCTTTATAACGACTCAAGCTCATTGTGTGACCTTCCATGGCCCATGCTTCTTTCAGACAAAGAGATTCCCATGTGGCTTGTGTCCAGGAAGTCTCCCAATGACCTTTTGGGACTCCTCCCACTGACCCATCAACATACCTAGCATTTAACCCAATAACTGCCAGATATTCTAACATACTGATACCTGCTCTCTAGTTAGGGTTACATACGTTCCAGAATACTCCCCGCTTGGAAATTTATATTTCCACTACTAACTAACTGAAATAGTAAAAACATAGCATCAAGGCATGCAATACTCATTGTTAACTAACTTGTGACTAAATAGGTAAAAACTTGGTATCAAACATGCATAACTATTGGTAAATATAAAACATGCACAATTATGCAAGAAAAAGGCAAGTGTGACATCAAACAATGCATAAAACAATACATAATTTGAGGTTTGATCTTCTGGTTCAGTCTTCATCAGCAGCAGGACCAAATCAGTGATCAGCCTGGTACAAGTGTCTTTGAGTCACGACCTGACTCACGTGGCTTCACGATCTGGACCTCAGCTGGGCAAACTAGTTCATCAAGTGGGTGGGCCCAGTGCATAAGTCCCATTGGCCAATAGTTCTGGTATGTAGTCTTGTCTCCCAGTGAGACAAGGTCTTCTTCCTGTAAAGGAAACTGGAACCAAATCTGGAACAGAAAAAACTGGAACCCAAGCTTCTCGGGAACGAGGGGAACTGGATCCACAGGATACTCAGGAACTGAAGAACTTGGAAAGACATAAACAGCTGTATCTGGAAACACAGGAACAGCTGGGGCTGAAGAATGAGGATCAGGAACATCCGGAAACTCAGGAACAGCTGGAGCTGGAAACTCAGGAACAGCTGGGGCTGAAGAATCGGGATCAGGAACATCCGGAAACTCAGGAACAGCTGGAGCTGAAGAATCAGGAACAACAGCTGAAACTGAAGAATCAGGAACAACAGCTGGAACTGAAGACTTAGGATACTCAAGAACCACCGGTGGAGTACAGGCTGCTACTCTTGTCATCAGGGTAGTGAGGACTTCATGTGTGGGTGTAGGTGTCTTTAATGACACGGAGTCCGTGAAAGTTAGTAAGTCCTTGCAGGCTCCTACAAGGCTAATTCTTGGGGTGTTGAAACAAGTGATCAAGACGATCAAAACTATGCCTAATTTCAGGTGTCTCCGCTTAAACAGGATTTTGAAGTAGATTGGTTGACGTTTAATGGGTGTCTGAGGTAGAAGGTTGGCACTTTGATCTGAAACTGGAAGTGCATAACGTTTTGGTTTCTGTGGCATCTGTCTGTTTGGACAGGCCAAGAACTCAAGACTTTCTAGCCAGATCAATTCTGTTAACTGTGTGGCAAGGTTGGGCCACTTCACTTGGTTAACAAAGTTCTTATTTGTTGACACATGTTGCCATTGTTCAGGGCTTGAAGATGTTTCAATCCCTTTCTCTCTGTTGCTTACATAGAAGTGTCTGCTTTGTTTGCAGATGTAGCTTGACATTACCTTGCTGTCTGCGTAGAAGATGGTAGATTGTAGTTCAAGGCACAACGTCTTCGCTGTCAAGTTGGTGAGCTTTACAGCCAAGGTGGTACCACATAGTTCTAACTTTGGTACGGTGTGGCCTTCTTGCATTGTTAGTCTCGCTTTCCCTAAGAAGACACCGATACTGCAGCACTCCCTGCTGTAGACTCTGATGCATCTTATGGTTGCAAACAAGATGATGTAAGTGTGGCTCTCCCCGATGTAGAATGAGATGTATGTTAAGGCTGCACTCACCTTCGTAGACACATCTAAGGAAGTGTACAATTCTTTCTTCTGCACTTTGGCGGGTGAGCTGGAGACATACGTACACTGCACTTGCATGCTTTGAAGACATCTTGGGAGTACACTCCATGACTCCCAATCTTGGGGGCATTGTTTGTCTTGTTTGTCCTCTATGGACAAAGCTAAATTGTTGTAATTCTTGCTTGTCTGGAACACGGTTGCTTCCAAAACAGGTTTGGTTGTCACGAGCATGCAGTGTTGTAGGTGTGGTTTTATAGGGTTCAATGGGGTGGCAATGGTGGGGAGATCTCGTGCGGTTGGAACACTGTTACTACCAAAACAGGTTTGGTTGTCACAAGCGTGCGATATTTTAGGCGCGGTTGGAACACTGTTGCTACCAAAACAGGTTTGGTTGTCACAAGCGTGCAGTGTTGTAGGTGTGGTTTTATAGGGTTCAATGGGGTGGCAATGGTGGGGAGATCTCGTGACCTAGGTATCGCGACATCAACTCTGTGGCTGACCGCCGCATCTGGTCATTGAGATTCCTCTGTTCGCCTACTCGGTCTTGGGGGGCTTGTGGCTGGCTGTGGCACTCTCACCTGCGCATTCTGGAATGTGCTTTGGTTGTCTGTGTAGGCCTGTGTGTGGCTACGACGTTCTTCCTTTTCCAGTTGCTCTCTATTTGGCAAGAAAGTGGTGTGCTGGAGTATTTTCTGAAGGCCTTTTGCTCTGGACATTTTGTCTGCCATATCTCTTTGGCTTTGAACAAGTTCAAGCTCTTTTTGGACATCTTTTCTTTTGGCCTTCATTTTAGCTGCTATAGCTTTTCGTTTGGCTTCCATTTGAGCTGCTTCATTTTCTCTATCGGCCTTCACTCTGACAGCTTCAGCTTCTCGATCATTCTTCATTTTGATTGCTTCGGCTTCTAGCTTGGCCTCTATTTCGGCTTCTTCGAGTTCTATGGCTGCCAATACCTTCTTTTTCTGCCACTCCTCCTGTGCCATGCGAAAGACTGCTTCAGCAGCTTTAGCATCGATGGTCATTTGCTCTTCATGTGAAATTCTGGATGCTCGGCTATGACGGGAAGATGCTTTCGAATGACGAGAGGAGCCTGTGGCATGCAATTGTTGGGACATGCTGGAATGTGCCTTGGACATGTGGCAAAAAGATGAAGCCTTTTCAGACACATGAGATGGAGCCACATGTGCCGGTTGTGATGGTGTGTGTGAGGAGCAGGAAACTTCGAACTCGGCCCTGTCGACCAGTCTGCCTCTCTGGTGAGGCTCGGGTTGTGGGGAACTCTGTGAGCTCTCTAGAAGCTTCTTACATTCCTCGTTTAGTAGCTTGAGGCTTTGCATCTCGCTATCGACTCTTGAGTCTCTTAATTGTTCCTGGATGTCCTTGAGTTGCCGTTCGGAGTCCATCCATTGCACATAGACGTCTTCCTTATCTCCTTCCACTGCTTGCGCATGTTCTCGGGAGAGTTCCTCCTTCTGTTCATGGTAGAGTTTGTATAATCACTCCCAGCCTCTTTCATGGCACTTGTGGATAATGTTCCATTTCTCCATCAGATGTGAGTGCATGGCTTCTGTGGGCTTTCTTTGTTGTCTCAGATCATGGTGACTCTGAGAGGTCTTTGGCTTCACTGAGGCTTGAGCTACAGCTTCTGTGTGCAGGTCAAGGTTGGCTGTTGGCAGCATTTCTCCTTGGCCAGCTGGTTAGGGTGTCTCAACTAGGCTGGTTAGTTGTACCCCTTCTGCTATGGCTAGGGTAGGTTCAGTGTTCTTCTCAGCTATTTTGAAGTGAATTTGAAGAACTTCTCTCTTTGACCACTAGGGGTCACTACTTGTAGATCAGCTTCAGAGGTGCTGTCGGTGGGTGGAGGCGCCGCTGGGTGCGTTCTCCTGCATTTGTGGGTACTTCAATGCAGTTCACCCCTTCACCACTAGGGGTTACTTGCTGCTGGTCAGCTACCAGGGTGCTCTTCCTTCGAGGTTCACCCTTGTCCACTAGAGGGGCCTTCTCTGGGCTCGGTTAAAAGCTTGCATGTAGTGCCTCCTTTAACCACTAGGGGGCGCCTGAAGAAAGGCCAGCCAAATTCTTCCTATTACCACATTACTGCTAGTGGCCACTGAGAGTATGTAGAGATACAAACTCCCACTTGGCGACTGTACCGTTAGTGGCCACTGAGAGAATGTAGAGGTACAAACTCCCACCTGGCAACTGTTAAGTTGCAGGCTGGAACCCTGGGTCATCAGCTGTGATAATAAGCAAGGAGACTTGGCTTCGCTTTCTTCTGCCTAAGTTCCCTCAAACTGGAACCACTTAGTCTCAGCTTGAGTGAGTGAGTGAGTACTTTAGCAAAGTTCATTCTGTGCCCTCTAGGGGGTATTGGTAGCTTGGGATAAATTTAAGTAGCTTGCAGTTTAACTAACAGATTTACTCTGCGTAGTTAGTGATGCATGCAGTGAAGTACCTTCTTTACCTCTGTTGTGTGCTGAATTAATTGTGGCTGTTGTAAATCAGCTTTAGATTCCAAAGGGCAAACAAAAAAAATCGCATAAGGGTGTCATGAATAAGTTGAACACCAGGGGGTGCTTCTGCAATGCTGTTGGGGTTGGATCTGCTTCTGTAACCAGATGTTTTGCCCCATAACATTGGCTGAAATTCCAAGCATTCCTAAGGGAGGGGGGAGCTTAGCTTTTCCACCGGTGTTGT